GCAACATCCCCTGGCACCCGTTGCCAGGGGTAACTGAGCAGGGGGTTCCACTGCCTTGGTGCCAAGATGCCTCCCCCTTTAACTGCCCCTGGAGGCAGCAAGAAAGGGAACAAAGCCCAGCCTTAAAGGACCCCCTTGGCAAAGACACAAGCTTCCTATTTATCCCCAACCCTGGGGGGCTGCCTCTTTAAGAGCCCCATAGTAGAATCCTGTCCTGTACTCTGAGCCCCCCATAATCTGCTTCCCCATATTTCAGGCCTAGGGGGCTCTTCTGCCCCCCCACTCCATCCCAGCTTCTGTGGATGCTAGGGGAGTCTTAAAGCCCCCCCCCGCACCTTGCCCATTATCTAACTCAGGGGACCCCTCCCCAAAATCCCTATGGGGGCAGGAGCCCCACAGTGAGGGGGCTGGCAGTGGAGCTGTCATGTTGGGGTGCATGGAATAGGGCTGGGAGTCTGGATGCCTGGGTCCTCTCCCCAAGTCCTGGAGGTGGGGGGCAGCTTGGATCCTAGGTTCTCTTCCCCTAGCCCCAGAGGGGAAAGGCAGGGGGTGTTATAAGCTGCAGCAAGGCAGAAGGCTCCATCTTGGAGCAGGGCTGGGATGTGGACAGCTCTGGGGGGCAGCGAGGAACCCAGGCGTCCTGGCACCCCAAGCCTTTTGCAAGGTGAGGGGGGACCCTATTTGCAAGCTAGATCTCCTTCCCCCTGCAGCTGGAGAATGACTGGATCCAGTTGGATACTGGGGAGAGAGTTAGTTCCTTATGGCTGCATGGTGCAGTCTGACTTGGAGGGGAGGTTGGGGACCCGGATGCCTGGGTTCTCTCCCTCTTAGCCCTGGAAGAGGCAGAGGGGCTGGGTGTGGGGGCTCCTGGGTTCTCTCCCCAGGTTCTGGAGGAAGGGAGGGGAGTTGGGATTCAGCAGCTGGGTTCCCTTCCTCCCAGTTGCAGAAGAAAAGTTGGGTGGGAGGAGCTAGGGCACCTGGGTTCTCTTCTCAGCTTTCAAAGAAATGTGGGGGAGGTCCAGTGGGTTTAAGCAAGGGTGGGGGGATACACTAGCCCCATAGGGCCCTGATCCTTTGCTGCAGGGCAAGCCTCTTGCCTCTGGGGATTTTTATCGGAGCTCTGCCCAGCCCAGCCCAGCCCCTGCCTTGATTTTTCCACCCCTCCCAGGGTGTTCATTAATTAATTAATCCATTTGCTAATTAATGTCTCCTTCCCTGGAGACAAGGGAGGGGTGAGGTGGCAGGGTCTCAGTGTCAGGTTCCAGGGGCAGCAGCTGGTCTCCAGGCTGTCAGGAGCTGTTTTCAGGCTTCAGGGCAGGGGGGTGTCAGCTGGGGTCAGGAAGGAACTGATGGGGGAAGGTGAGGCAGGGGAACTGAGGGCCCTGCAGGGGAGGGAGTGGGGCAGGGAACTGAAGGGGGAAGGGATGATGGCTGTGAGGGGGACCTGAAGGGGCAGGAGTGGGGTAGAGGGTAT